CTGACTGTGTGTGATAATGAGTAGGTTCGCTTGTCCAGTCTCGTGGGTTTTTTCCGTGTCCTCCACGTTTCCTACCACTGCTAAAGACCCCTACACGCAAGTGAATTATTGAAATAAAATTGAACCGTATATGTTATTCCCAAAAAGACCTTGTTTGTGTCAAGTGGACTTAAACTCTCTCCCTCTCTCTCTCTCTCTCTCTCTCTCTCTGTGAACCCCTCACTCTATGCACCCCAATGCTCTCTCTCTCTCTCTCTCTCTCTCTCTCTCTCTCTCTCTCTTTCTCTCTCTCTGGTTAATTCTATTTCTCTCTTATTAAATGCTCTCCATTGATTTATGGTGGGAGATGATCTAATCACGGGCGATCAGTGTGTCCGAGGAGAATTCATTCTCTGATTTCATTAGATTAACTCTAACCACTAAATGCCAATCTGATGATCTGAACAAGCTTTAAACATCTGTTAAAACTGAGACTTGATTTAGTCCACGCTTTAAAATCATTGACTTGATGAAGGTAATTGGATAAGCATGTTTCGTGTTTAGAACCAGTTTCTGCGTCTAGACTAAAGGGGAGGTTATTCTCAACCTACACACTAACATATCTTGATTAAAACAAGAGTCGCTATTACATAAAATTCACAGCCACACAAAGTTTATTCTATTTACCATGCCAGAATTAAATATATCATTCCATTTGTGGCATATATATCTGATATTGTACAACAGCGGAAATAGGAAGGTACATAGTCTAGTCATTTGGATGGGACAAAAAATTGGGGTCCTGTACTCACATTGTGGTGCACGTAAAGAACCCTTAACAGTTGGAATTCAATGAATATTTGGTGGAAATATTCCTAATTTAATATTCCAAAATTTTCCTAATAGCTCACACTGCATGATATACGCTCGTCTTCATTATCCCAGTCGGTGCAGACAAGAAAGATGTTTAAATAAACCTTATTGCATTTCAGTTCAGTTTATAGAGAGAGAAATTGGGTTTAATATCCACTTTGACAAAAAATAGATAATTTCGGGACTAACATATGGTTCAATTTTATTTCAATAATTCGCTTGTCTTTATTATCCAAGTAGATGAGTTCATAGTTCATCTGATACACTCCATATGGTATGTAATAATACTAATACTCTCTTTTTGCTTCTTTTATAAGATTCTATACATGCGCACCATTTTTTGTGCTTTAAGGTAAAACTTTACAGTCACACCAATTTTATTCTATTCCCCTTCCCAGACATAAATATATCTTTCCTGACATGCCTTATTTTTTATCTGATACTGCCTACATGGTATGCGCAATAACTTTGTTTTAACTCTAAAGTAATAATACTCTGGGGTTTTTTTGGGTTTTTTTGCTTATTTTTTTTTCTATCAGATTCTATCCATGCACACCATTTTTTGTGCTTCTACATAAATTTCACAGTCACACCAAATTTATTCTATTCCCCACTCAGAAATAAATATATCTTTCCTGACATGCCTTTTTTATCTGATACTGCCTACATGGTATGCGCAATCACTTTGCCTTTTAACTCTACAGCAAAGATTAATCCCTCTGTTTTTTGGGGGGTTTTTTCCCATCAGATTCAATCCATGCACACCATTTTTATGCTTTTTAAAAACAAATTATCGTCAGGATTCTGTCACTCTTACGTATCTGATTTTTGCTGTAGGTGGAATTCTTTTAACATGTAGAAATTGTTGGGTATGTTTACAATTCACATGTTTGTGACTGAAGGGAGACATTGAAAATGTCAATCATAAAAATGTATAAAAAATCTGAAGTTATGCAGTTGTCCCTGTTGTTAACATTTTTCTCCAAGATTCTGCAGTTATTCTTCTTGATCTGTAGATTAAGAGCACAAGTAAAATTGTCATTTGTAATCCATGTGTTTGAGACAGGAATATCATATTTTGGTCAGCAAACATCTAAAATCTGTGATGAGAGAGACTACAGACAAACATTTTCATCAGAGAGAGAGAGTTTTAACATCCTCTTAACACAATTTCATGACTAGGGTATCATTAAATCAGGGGGGTTGGATGGCTGAATGGTTAGCTGTATCATAAAGTCTGCCATTGAGTCGACTTGCGTGGTTTCGAATCCCCGGTTGTATGTGGCAAGGAGTAGGGTCGCCTGTCCAACCTCGTGGGTTTTCTCCGGGTCCTCCGGTTTCCTCCCACTGCTAAAGATCCCTATACGCAAGTGAATTATTGAAATAAAATTAAAAACCTTATGTTAGTCCCAAAATGACCTAGTTTGTGTCGAGTGGACGTTAAACCCCATCTCTCTCTCTCTCTCTCTCTCTCTCTCATTAAATCACATGCATGCCAGAGTCTTTAGTAGTGTGGGTGGAGACTAAAGAAAAACTTTATGAGCTATGAAAAATTCTAATTTCTAACATTTGGTAGAAAATCAGTATACAAGTAGTTAATTCAAAACATAATAGTCACACATGAATGAATATTTTGGGAAATGTTTTGAAAATAAATAACTTGTTGTTTCTTATAAATTTGAAAGAAATAACTTTTCGTTTTCTTTAAAACAATTTTTAGACTAAACCGAACACATTTTGCACTCTTTGGGCTACTGATGAAATAATATACACAATATTTTGTTTAGAATTTTAAAACTTAAAAATGTGGTAATGAAATGAAATGAAATGGGGTTTAATGTCCTACTGTTCTGCTCCGAACTGGGCTAATGAAGACGGGCATACGCCATACAGTGTGCTATGAGGGAAGTTTTGCCCGGACAGCGGCACTATGGCCTATTCTTATATCAAATTCCAACTGTCAAGGGATCTTTTACGTGCAGGCCGATGTGTACACGGGACCTCGGTTTAAAAAATGTGGAACCAAAAGCCTATGGGAGCAAAGAAGTACTTTTTGTTTCTAAATTATTTTGTTTAACCAAGAAATACGAAGCAAAAAGTTTAACAGGAATTTCTGAAGAGTAAACATTCAAATTGATGTGCAACTTAGTAATTAATTCTAAAGCAAACAATATTGCATGAATGAAAATTTTGTAAAATATTATGAAAATTAATAACTTCTGCTTAAAATGCTGTCTACTCCATCTCTTTGATAATATAAGCAGCTGTTTGTCATAAAACATAATATGATTAATTCTCTACAATAAAAAAAATGGAAAAAAAAGATGGCCACAGACAATCAGTTTTAAATACAGCAAGAAATCTTGAAGTGTAAAAGACAGGAGTCTGAGCTCCCTTCATTCAAAATCTTACATCTGCCATTTAAAATGATCAAGTAAATGTCATTGTTCGTTTGGTGTTCCTAAAACAGGAACTTCATTAGCCTAGCAACCATTACTCAATTACTAAATGCATTAATTTTTTCTTCTTTCACTATTTTTTTTTTTTATTTTTCTCATGAAAAAATCCCACAAACTCATCTTCAGTTAATCAAATACCCATTATAGCCTTATTAAAGCCTTGCTATTCTATAACGTGCATGCTGACAACAGAATTCATTCAATTTCAAATCAAATTATTTCTCTAAAAGCACTGGGGAAAAAAGTATGAATTTAGTCAATTCTATCAAATTAATAGAAAGCTAATTCAGAAGAATACCTGTGATGATCTAATATTTGAAACTAATAGATTAAAATCAATATTTAGGTATAATGGAAATGGTTTTTGTGCTACTAAATGATATTTATACTAACAAGGAGTCTCTTGTTCATAGCAACTTCTTCTATTAGCGTTTAGTGTCCACTTCTACCGATGTTGATATTGCAGATAAGTTGTCTTATTTTATTATGCTTAGCACATGTACAGGGGTCTTTCCGAAGTACCTGGAGTAAATCGACGAGGGTTGAAAAGTTCCCCCTATCTTAGAGTTTAGCAAACTCCTATGGGTCTTTCCTGGGGGAAGAAACCAAAGTACCCAGAGTAAAATCACCAGGTTGGAAAGGCCCCCCCCCCCCCCATCTCCAAGCCACATATGCTCACATCAGGAATCGAAACTAGAGCCAACTAGAGCTCAAAGCGTGACACTCTAGACCAATTTTTTTATGGTTTAAATTGTACGATACAGTGTCGTTGTCAAGCCCTAACCAAGAGATACAGGAATAGTTTTAACCAACCACAATGATATAAGTAACAGAACAAATAACTGATGAGGAATATATTTACAGTTTTTTAGACCCTACCAAAAGCTTAAATCTGAATGAAATAAGAAGTACTAATTTTGATTACCAGGACTGCTGCAAGTAATTTTGTTGATAAACTAGGAGGATTTTATTTGTATCCTGACAGGAAATTACAACTGACCAAATCAAACCTGATTATCTGTGTGATTCCGGTGACCAGAGGAAGTCTGTTAATAAATAAATACTAATTGTTATTATACCTGTATAGAGATCGGCCATGCAGGTGCCCTTTATATACACTTAGGCTAGGCCAAGTTGAATTTGTGTTCACAGTCTGGGATATCCAGCCCAACAAAAAAAACCAATTTGAATTTTTGTTTTTTGGGAACATCTATTACAAATTTTGTGTCCTATTTTGTTGGGTGGAAAATATAATTTAAAAATATTGCTCTTCTCAAAAGCTTTTTCAATTGGCGTGGTTTCAATTCCCAGGTTGTACATGACAAGGAGTAGGGTCGCCTGTCCAACCTCGTGGGTATTCTCCGGGTCCTCCGGTTTCCTCCCACTGCTAAAGACCCCTACCAGCGAGCGAATTATTGAAATAAAATTGAACCATATGTTAGTCCCGAAGTGACCTAGTTTGTGTCGAGTGGACATTAAACCCCATTTCTCTCTCTCTCTCTCTCAAAAGGTTTTACTTCCAAATTTAAAAGAAATGACATGCAGTACGAAACTTGAGCGTGGCTATTTATTTAACGAGACCAAGAAGAACCAAAAATTAATTAACCTGGCCTGTATCTAGTGTATATACAATATAAGTACACATCAGTAATTAAATGAAGATTCATTTCTTTGATGCTTCAGATTTAGAAGTGAACTTTCATTGATTTTCTCAATCAATGTGTAATTTCCTCCTGGACATGGTCTATGCTGTTATTTACCAGAAAATTAATGAGAATGTTGGCCGTTACAAACTCCTCCCACCTGTAATCAGATTACACAGGTGAGTTGAATCCAATTAATTTATAATATAACCAATAATTAACAATGGAGAAATGGTAGAAACAATGGTAGAAAGATACACTACTGTTGATAGTCAATCACACTTTCTTTATGTTGTTGGGTGTCATCTTTGAATCAAATTAATTTATAATAACCAGTAATTCACAGTGAAGATGAAGATTTAATGGCAGAAAGGTACACTAAGGTCAATTGTCAATCACTCTTGTTTATTGTACGGTTTCATCTTCATTAGCTTTTATCAACCTTAATGCAATATCAGAAGGTCTGGAAATAATGGTTTTAGATGTACCTGACAAAATGTCAAGCACCTTGATTATATCAGTTAGTTTTTTGGGGGAGCCAGGGGCCTTTTTCACGAAATTTTAACTAAGATAAAATCCAAATTTTAGTAATTTGATTGGATAATATTAGATTGATTTTAGTGATTAACCAATCAAAATTGATTTTAGTGATTGACCAATCAAAATTGAAGTATGTCCTAAAATTTAGATTTTATCTTTAGTTAAGATTTCGAGAAACAGGGCCCAGGATGGCTCACTGAGTAAGGCACTTGCTCATGATCACTATTGAAAATGAAATGAAATGGGGTTTAACGTCCTACTGTTCTGCTCCTAACCTGGGTTAATGAAGACGGGCATACGCCATACAATGTGCTCTGAGGGAAATTTTGCTCGGGCAGCGGCGCTGCGGCCTACTCTTATATCAAATTCCAACTGCCAAAGGATCTTTTACGTGCATGCCAATATGTACACGGTAACTCGGTATTTCGTCCCATCATAACGACTAGACAGCTGTCCTTGTCAGACCCTCGTCCTGCATCACTGACAAGGGGAAACCACTCCGGAAAATCTGGATGAACTTTCTCGGCCAATGCAGGGATCGAACACCCATCCTCCAGGCTAGCGAGCCAGTGTCTTACCCACTTAGCCACGTGATCCCCCATGATCACTATCAATTAAATCTATAAAAGATAACTGACCACAAAAAACTACAAGGTTGATATAGCAGACCTAATGTTAGCCTGCATATATATATTTCTTGCAGTCAACAATCTCTTACTGCCAATATATTCTGGCTGGTAATGATTTCTTGATGGTATTATTTAATGCTGGCAATATTTTCCTGTTGGTAAAAATTTGTTGCTGGTAAAAATTTGTTGCTGGCAATATGTTCTTGCTGGTAAAAATTTCTTTACTGGTAATAATTTCTTGCATGCAATAAATTCTGACTGGCATTAATTTCAACTGGCAATATTTTCTTGTTGGTAATAATTTCTTAACTCGTAATAATTTCTTGCATGCAATAAATCTGGCTGGCATTAATTTCAACTAGCATTATTTTCTTGTTGGTAATAATTTCTTAACTGGTAATAATTTCTTGCATGGAATAAATCTGGCTGGCATTAATTTCAACTGGCAATATTTTCTTGTTGGTAATAATTTCTTAACTGGTAATAATTTCTTGCATGCAATAAACTCTGGCTGGCATTATTTTCTTACAGGCAATAATTTCTTGTTTTACAATGGAATACATTATAAATTCACTTTTGAGTACCTTATAAAGATGTGTATCTGTTTTTTTCGGATTTAAAAAAAAAATGTTAAAAGCTTCTTGATAATGTAAAGAAGATTTATTTAAAGACAAATTTCTAAGTGACTGAATTCTAAAAGATAAAAAACATGAAGATAAATGTTGTAATATCCTGTAATGTGGGATAAAGTAAACTTAATAAATAGAAACTTATCCATCTGACTTACAGTAGACGGCTTAGAGGATATTGTCAAGTCACTGGAATCGAAATTGAAGGCATATATATGTATATACTTGTAGTAACCCTTTATCAATTCTGGTCGCAAAAAAAGCCCAGGGAACGAGCTGACAGGTCCTACTTGACATGAGTTATGGCTTCAGGGAATGAAATCTTCTAATCAGGGTGTCCCTAAGTTGGAATGTTGTCGATACCTTAACAGAATAATTCCCGAAGAATTATGGCGTTGATTAAAAAGAATATTATGAACCAAATCACACGGGTTGCCCTAAGGAGCACACAGCCTCTATCTTAATCAGCTTAAAGCTCAATCAATCACGCATTATTGACTGAAACTATTGTTAACATAGCGCTAATTCTTCAAATATCCCCTTTTCCTGATGCCATGAATGAATGCAATCGGAATCTTTATATTCAGTAATGGTGTGCTTGCATGATTCCGAAGTGACATGTGGACTTCAGGTATACATGTTCCAATCTGACTAGCAAATAATTGAAATCCAATTTATTTAACGATAGGATTGTAGAGAAAAAATCTCATGGTTGTAATTAAATGAAATCAGAATTGATGTGAATTTAAATACGACGATTGTTGGACAAATACAGGAGTATCAGATTGATTTTGTAAATTGATTTTTTTTAGCCTTTGTGAGTAAAGAAAGAGTCTTGTAGTCCTTAATGATAGTCATACATTTTTTTCTAAGTCAAGTGGAATTCAAATATCTCTGTAAATCTTTTTTTCTTTTTGTCTCCTTTTAAGCTGGTTAGTTGGGTGGTCAAGTGGTGTAACACACACACTTAAGATCATCAGGTCTGTCATTGAGTCAAGTGGTGTATTTTCAATCCCACTCTTGTATGTGACAAGGAGTACGGTCGCTTCCCTAACCTCATGGGTTTTCTCCGGGTCCTCCAGTTTTTATTCCCACTGCTAAAAGACCCATATGCGCTAGAAAATTATTGAAATAAAATTGTACCACTTGTTAGTCCCAAAATGAACTGGTTTGTGTTGAGTGGACATTAATTAAGCTCATTAGATCCAGAGGCCTGTCATGTATGCAAGTCATGGGTTTGGACACATGTTTGTTACAAGAAGTAGGATCTTGTGTCTAACCTTTTGGGATCTCCAGTCCCCTCACCCTTTTCTAAAATCTCTCTCTCTCTGTCTCTCTCTTGTAAGCATGTTTGTTACAAGTAGTGTATAACCTTTTGGGATTTCTATGGGTACTCTGCCAGTCCCACATCCTTTTCTAAAGATCTCTCTCTCTCTTTAAAGAAAGACCTACAATAGGCAGATTTACCTCGTGCATAATGCATCTTTAATTAAATGTTAAATGATCATTTTGATTATATTTTAGATATTGTCTGAAATATGCCAATGATGATCAACTTCTTTAATGAATGATAAAGGGGGGTTGGACTGATGAATGGTTAACATGTGTGCATTGTATCACAAAGTCTGTCATTGAGTCAACTGCCGTCGTTTCGATTCCCTGGTTGTATGCGACAAGGAGTATGGTCGACTGTCCAACTTCATGGGTTTTCTCCGGTTCCTCTGGTTTCCTCCCACTGCTAAAGACCCCTTTTCGCAAGCGAAATAGAACCATATGTTAGTCCTGACCTGTTTTGTGTCGAGTGGACGTTAAACCCCATTACCCTCTCTCTCTCTCTCTCTTTCATGTCTTTGAGTATAATTATGCAATGTCAGTATTTTGTGCCATTAGTAGTATATGTGTGTTTATCTAATGGTTTTCTATCAGTCCTACTGCACTACCAGTACAAATACCAATATACAATAAATAAAAGGAAAGATTATTAAATATTTATAGTTTCATTTCCTCTAAGTGTTGGAAAATTGTATAACAAAATTATGCATATTTAATCAAATAAGACTACAACTTCACAGTACATGTCAACTGAAAGAAAAGGACGTTTTTACATGAATACTATAATTCAAAACATCCTTTTATGATCTGTGGTGAGTTCATTTATTAGATAATAGTTTCTGGTGGTTTTAAACAATTTAATTCACACTCAAAGGTATTCAAATCGATATTTTAACATTTAATGAAGAAGACAAAACAATATTTTATTCTCAGAAAAGGATTGAGGAACAGGCTAGCCTATGTTACAACTCTGTATGAAAATATCACTCATAGCACGCTGTATGGTGTATGCCCATCTTCATTAGGTTGACCCTCATAGCACGCTGTATGGTGTATGCCCATCTTCATTAGGCTGACCCTCATAGCACGCTGTATGGTGTATGCCCATTAATTGCCCATCTTCAATAGTCTGAGCCTCATAGCACACTGCATATGGTGTATGTCCATCTTCATTAGTCTGTCCCTGTAATAATTTTATAGTAAATTGAATTTTTTTCTTCTCCTTCTAGGAGAGATTATGACGTCATGCATCTTCGATAAATTGCATACTGGATTGATTTTATTAATTACTCTTCGTGTGTATCTAGTTAGTTAAATATTTTGCTAAATACGATGTCCCAGTATATATCCTAGAGTTGGCCGAGATAGTTCCTCAGGATTTTTCAGAATGGTTACACCATGTCAGTGGTGCAGGACATGGGGCCTGGCAAGGGACAGCATATGAATGGGATGAAAAATTGAGGTGTACATGTAAAAGAATTCTTGGTAGTTGGTGTTGAGAGACACACCACTGCATGGACAAAATTTCCAGAATAGCACACTGCATGGCATGTGCAGAACAGTAGAAAGTTAAACCCAAGTCATTCAGATGGGACAAAAAACAGAGGTCCCGCATACACATTAGCATGCACATAAAATATCCCTTGGCAGTTGGAATTCAATATAAGAGTAGGCAATAGTGTCAATGCCCAGACAAAATTTCCCCCATAGCACCTTGTATGGCGTATGCCCGTCTTCATTAGCCGAGTCGAAGTAGGACGTTAAACCCCATTTCTTACATTTCATTCCATTTGAACTGCTTAAAGTGTTTTGTGGTTGATAATTAATAATCAAGTTTGGCATGTTCTGTTGGTCTTGAGGTTTTTTTGTAGTTGATAATTAATAATGATGGCCATCTTGTCCTACAGGTGCATGATTAACAAGATTGTGTGTGTTCTGAATGTAATGAACCAGAGATTGTTTTAGGGTTGTAAACTACACCAACATGGGTCATTATTCCGTTAAACACCGATATATCACCTGGTCTTCATAACTCCGTGTAAAATATGA